AAGTGTAGCCAGAAAAGCCTGGGACCCCTCTACTCTGCCCCCACCCTCATTTCTGGGCAAGTTCAAGCCACCTAGCTCACTCTCACCTTCTCTCTGCTGTTGGAAAGGTGTTCGGTGAAAGTACATTTAAAACACATTTACTGTGACTTTACCCTTCCCCCCTGCAGGTAGTAGCACACACTGAGCAGAGGAAGATTGAAAAGAACAAATAAGCCATAAAGACAAACAACTCACCTGTAATCCAGTATGCAGAGGGAATTTCTATGTAGGTTGGGGGGAGGGTCGAATACACTTCCAGTAAGTTTTTCTATGTGTACATATACATGTATTTGAATGTATATGTGAATAGGAATTTTTCATCTAAAAAAGTAATATAAACTCAGTGAAGCAAAAAATACCATTACGAAAGCATACAAACGCATGCCTAGCATATCTCTGGGGAAAGCTAAGGCAGACCCTGGTTACATTGGTTGCCCTGGGGCAGGAGAAGAGGGTGACTGGGTCCTTTGTTTTCCTTTTTCTGCTTTCAGAATTTTGAACCATGTGAATATAGCATCTATTTACAAATAATAGAGATGATGATGAACCGTACATAAAGTAAAGGCGGAAAGCCTTCCCTAACTGCTTCTCTTGATTCTACTGCTCAGCCTAAGCCACTATCAGCAATTTGCCTGTATCTTTCCAGACCTTTCTCCATGCTCATATAATGCATATTTCCATGTATTCTTTCTTTTTTAAAATCAAGATGAAACTATATTGTATACTCTGTTTCCGTAATGTGCAGAATAATACAGCATGAATGTGGACTGCTTTTTAAAAAATGCTCGATGTTTTTGGTTTTCTTCTGCCCAAAGTGCTTATTATAAAAAACAAAGATCACAGAATCAAATAAACATGGGAAGGAAAGAAAATCTAAAATAGGACCATCTATTTCAGTATGTTAAACACAGAGCCAAAGGTCCAGAAGGAGCCCCTGCAGAGCAGTCAGCCATGGGCACCCTGGGTGGCTGTAGAAAGAGGGACTCTGGCTTTATCTGCTTTGTGTACATTTTGTACAGTGAGAGTATATTTTATATATTGATTTTTCTGAATAAATATTGTATAACTTAAAAAAATTTTTTTAAGGAAAAAACCTGGAAGACTATATTCCCCTTCCCCACCTCCAGTAAAAGTTGAGGGGAAAACATACGAGGTGTGAGTCCCCTGTGTTCTTATTATTATCAGCCTCCTGTATATTCTGACCTTCCCCCATGTGTGTACTAACACACAAATATACAAATACACACATCATATTCTTGTACAATGGAAACATGCTGTAGGTTGGGTTTTTTTTAGTAACAGTTTTATTTTATTTGTTTGTTTATTTATTTAATTTTGAGACAGGGTCTTACTCTGTTGCCCAGGCTAGAATATAGCAGCATCATCATAGCTCACTTCAACCTCAAATTCCTGAGCTCAAGAGATCCTCCTGGCTCAGCCTCCCACATTAGATGGGACTACAGGTGTGCGCCATGATGCCTGGCTAATTTTTCTATTTTTTGATAGAGACGGGGTCTTGCTGTTTCTCAAGCTGGTCTTGAACTCTGGCCTCAAGCAATCCTCCCGCCTGGGCCTCCCAGAGTGCTAGGATTACAAACGTGAGCCATTGTGCCTGGCCATAGTAACAATTTTATTGAGATATAATTCACATACCATGAAGTTTGCCTTTTAAAATTGTACAGCCCAGTAGTTCTTGGTATATTTGCAGAGTTGTGCAACCGTCACCACTCTCTAATTCTAGAACATTTTTATCACCCTCCTCCCCCAAGGAGACTGGTACCTATTAAGAGTCACTCCCCATTCTGCCCTCCCCCAGCTCTTGGCAACTGTTAATCTACTTTCTGTCTTTGTGGATTTGCTTATTTCGGACATTTCATGCAAGTGGAATCATAGGATATGTGGCCTTTATCGACTGGCTTCTTTGACTTAAGCGTGATGTCCTCAAGGGCCACCCATGTTGCAGCACATGTTAGGACTTCATTCCTCTCTCTGGCTGAGTCATATTGCAATGTGTGGATGGGCCACGTTCGGATTATCTATTCATCAGTTGGTGGATATGGTTGGGTTGTGGGTTCTGTTTTGCAGATTACTTCTTTCCCTTAACAGGGCATCTGAGGGGCTTTACCATGTCCTCCAGTCTCATCATCTGTTAGTCCTTCTGTGATGCCTGGGGCCCCTGGGTGCCTCTGGAGACCCCTTCACTTGCCTCTCTGCCACTGCTCTTCCTTCCTCTGGGGAGTCTGCAGTGCGGTGGTCACCTAGTCCATGGCCCAGTATTATAGATGAGAAAGTGCAATTTCAGGGAGAGGAAGGGGTTTACTAGGATTTTAAACTCAGCGTTGTGGGGGGTCCCCAGAGTTCAACTCCTAGCAGAGGCTGCAGCCCCTCCCACTCTCCTTGGGGTGGGTGGGCCCAGATCTGGAAGCCTGAGCATCTCACCCTGGAGCCCCCACCCTGGCACTCTCCCTCTGAGGCCAGGACTTGTCTGCTGTCTCCTGGGTTTTGAGGAAGGACTTGTTTTGTGACCCTCCCCACCATTCCTCCTCTTCCCTTCTAGCTTTTGAATGTTCCCAGGTCAGCTTTGCTCAAATACTGGTTCCCTTGGCACCCTCATCTGAAATATCAGCCTCTGCCTTCCTGCCTCGTTTGCATTTCAAAAGGTCTCTTTAGGATTTGATTGAGCCTTAAGATATTCTGTACTTAAGAGCCCATCTGGAGTTCCTTTCCCTGGCACAGTGTAGCCAACCTGCACTTTTGAATCACTTGGGAAGCTATTTAGAAATACTGAAGCCTGAGACCTACCCCAGACCATCAGTATTTTTTTTTTTTAAGTTCCCCCAGGTAATTCCAATGTACACCCAGGGTGGGAACCGTGGTGCTAGCTCCACTCTGGCCCTGATCAAAGAAGGCAGATTTTCTCCTACCAAGTCTTTGGAATTTGATCAAGAGCCATGTTAAGGCCGGGCCGGTGGCTCACCCCTGTAATCCTAGCACTCTGGGCGGCGGAGGCGGGCGGATTGCTCGAGGTCAGGAGTTCGAAACCAGCCTGAGCAAGAGCGAGACCCCATCTCTACTATCAATAGAAAGAAATTCATTGGCCAACTAATATATATATAGAAAAAATCAGCCAGGCATGGTTGCACATGCCTATAGTCCCAGCTACTCGGGAGGCTGAGACAGCAGGATTGCTTGAGCCCAGGAGTTTGAGGTTGCTGTGAGCTAGGCTGACGCCAGGGCACTCACTCTAGCCTGGGCAACAAAGTGAGACTCTGTCTCAAAAAAAAAAAAAAAAAAAGGAGCCATGTTAGGAACGGGTCCCAGGTCAGCTATGGATTTGCAGTAGGACCTTGAGCAAGTCCCTGCCCCTCTCTGTTTCAGTAAAATGGGGCTTGGATTAGATCAGTGGCTCTCACCTTCGGGGATGGGTGTGAGAGGAGGGGGTTGGGAGTAGGCATGTATCCAAATCACCTGGGACCATTTTCAAAAACATACCAGCCCAACTTAAAGTCAAAAGCAACCTAAGTGTGGTTTTGTACACCACCAACATGAATCACCCTTCTCTTGGGAGGAAGTGTTTGAATGGAATCATGCATCTAATTGAAGGACTTTTTTAGACAGTGGGAAACTTCAGTAATGATTATTTTAACATTTCCCCAAATTCCCCAACATAGAGATTGTGCCATTTGCATTCTTGCCAGCAATTTTTGAACCTTCTTGTTCCTCCATAGCTTCACCAGTAGGATACATTGTCATATAATTTGGATTTTTGCCAATCTGATAGGTGGGAAATGGTATCTCAGCATAGTTATAATTTGCATTTCTCTATCATGAGTGGGATGATATGATTAAGATCCATTTGTCTTTCCTGTGAATCATTTTTTATATCTCTGACCTCTTTTCCTATAGGTTTGTTGGCCTTATAGAATATTTACATATTTAGGATATCCTCTTTACATATTTAGGATATCAACCCTTTATTGGTATTATAAAATGGAAACATTTTTTTTTCCTACTTTGTCATTTATATTTTTGCTTGTCATAGGGTGTTTTTTTTTTTTTCCATGTAGAATTTGCTTGAGTAATCAAATGGATCAATTTTTTACCCCTATTGCTTCTGGATTTTTGAATCATGATTTGCCATCAGTTTCTCATGATAATTTCTAAGCCTCTTGTATAATTATGATTTGTTGTACTCATATTCATTTTCCTTATTAGTATTCATTCTGAGTTAAAGTTCCCAGTAGGTGTCAGTTGCAGGGGGCCAGGATTCCCTTTGAAATGGAGATTTGCATGCAGAGGTTTACTCTTTTTTTTTTTTTTTTTTTTATATATTTTTCTGGACGAGGTTCTGGGGCCCCAAGAGAAGGGGGCCCCAGAAGTCGCCCGAGGTTTACTCTTCGTGGAGCTGGAAGAGTACCCCTGAGAATGACACCATCCATCCATAGAGGGCACCAGACCTCAACCCTCAGCCAGTGGCTGTTGCTGCGCAGAGCACCCAGCTTTGAGGTCTTAGCTGGGGGATGAGTGTCCCGGTTCTGATGGGGGGATCTGGGCCAAGCACCCCAGCACCCTGCCTGGGTACCTAGGCTCGTTCACTGCCACGTTCTCTACAGCTAACTGCCTGGCACATGATAGGTGCTCAGGAAATCTTTGATGCATGAATGAAAGGCAAACAAGAACAGAAACCCAGATTTCCTGGTCTTGGAGCAGACCAGCCAAGATCACAATGTGGGGGTGAGAGAGAGGGGAGGAGCCTGCACACTCTGGTGCTCTGGCATGTCCCTCATTTGCAGCCCACTGGGTGGTCTCAAGGGCCCCTCCAGCTCCCTATTGGTGCTGGTCAAGCCTGGACTGGGACGGGGGTGGAGCCCTCCGTGTGGGCATTGGCACCATGACTACTCTTTGGATAAGCATCACTCTTGTGAGCTTTCCTTCTGACTTTTTTTTTTATCTCCCTTTAGCATTCCTTGAAGAAAAGAGGAACCCGCTCCCTGGGGAAGACAGATAAGAAGCCTTCGGTACAGGTACTTCCTGGCAGCCCCCACGGGCAGGTTAACTGAAGGCTCAGGCTAACTCCAGATGGCCCGACAAGTCCCCAGGGGTGCCTACCCCTCCCCAGCTTCCATTTTTTTGGTTGTTTATGTTCTTAGCTTTGCTGCCCACTTCACTTCCCCAAACCACACCTTGAGCCCATGGCTCTTAGACGCTCAGACTCCCCCAGGAGCAGCAGACTGACTTACAAAACAGCACAACAGTCAAATCCAAAGGTCCAGAGTCAGAGACTCGGATTTGACTCTTGACTCTTCTGCTTGACTGCCATGTGATTGGGGCAAGTCACTTCACTTTCTGGCCTCCGTTTCCTCATCGGTCCCTATCTTGTGGGTTCGTTATTAGAATTAGATAAAGTACTGTATACAGCACAGGCCAGGCATAGAATACTGTCAGCTCCTAGGGGTGCTGGGCTGTCCGGGTGCCAGGCCCTTTTCATTAAATTATCTCAGTTAATCCTCTCCGTGGTTCTGGGAGGGAGGGACTGTTACTGTCCCATTTTACAGATGAGGAAATGGTAGTAGTAGCTGCGGTCACCCATCAGAATGTCACCTGCTCCCAGGCAGGCGCTCCACCCTTGCTGCATTATCAAGGTTATTGCAATCTCTGCATCCCCTCTGGATCCCCAGCTCCTTGAGGGTGGGGCTGTGGCTGATTTAGTTCTGTGATCCCAGCACATGGTGTTCCCCCAAATGCCATGGCTGGTCCTAAGCCTCCCAGCACTCACCTCCCCGGCTTGTTTGTGTGTGTCTGTCCCTGTGTGGTCGGCCCCAGGAGGACAGCGCAGATCTGAAGTGCCAGCTGCACTTCGCCAAGGAGGAGTCCGCCCTCATGTGCAAGAAGCTCACCAAGCTCGCCAAGGAGAACGACAGCATGAAGGAGGAGCTGCTCAAGTACCGCTCGCTCTACGGGGACCTGGACAGCGCCCTGTCGGCGGAGGAGCTGGCGGATGCCCCTCACTCGCGGGAGGCCGAGCTGAAGGTGCACTTGAAGCTGGTGGAGGAGGAGGCCAACCTGCTGAGCCGCCGCATCGTGGAGCTGGAGGTGGAGAACCGAGGCCTGCGCGCTGAGATGGACGACATGAAAGACCACGGTGGCAGCTGCGGGGGCGCCGACCCGCGCCTGGCCTTCTCCGGGCTGGGGGGCGGCGAGTGCGGGGAGAGCTTGGCGGAGCTGCGGCGACACCTGCAGTTCGTGGAGGAGGAGGCGGAGCTGCTGCGGCGCTCCTCGGCCGAGCTGGAGGACCAGAACAAGCTGCTGCTCAACGAGCTGGCCAAGTTCCGCTCGGAGCACGAGCTGGACGTGGCGCTGTCGGAGGACAGCTGCTCCGTGCTCAGCGAGCCCTCGCAGGAGGAGCTGGCCGCCGCCAAGCTGCAGATCGGCGAGCTCAGCGGCAAGGTCAAGAAGCTGCAGTACGAGAACCGCGTGCTGCTCTCCAACCTCCAGCGCTGCGACCTCGCCTCCTGCCAGAGCATGCGGCCCATGCTGGAGACGGACGCCGAGGCCGGGGACTCCGCCCAGTGTGTGCCCGCTCCCCTCGGCGAGGCCCACGAGCCCCACGTGGCCCGGCTCTGCAGAGCCAGGGAGGCCGAGGCGCTGCCTGGACTGAGGGAGCAGGCCGCCCTGGTCAGTAAGGCCATCGACGTCCTGGTGGCCGACGCCAACGGCTTCTCCGCCGGCCTCCGGCTGTGTCTGGACAATGAGTGTGCTGACAACAGCGAGGGCCCCAGGGACACCAAGCTCATCCATGCCATCCTGGTGCGGCTGAGCGTGCTGCATCAGGAGCTCAACGCCTTCGTGCGGAGGGCGGACGCTGCGCTCGGGAGCTCCGCCAAGGAGCAGCCAGAGCCCTTCCCCGCCCTGCCCGCCTTGGGCTCCCAGGGGCCCTCCAAGGAGATTCTTCTGGCCAAAGACCTCGGCTCAGACTTCCAGGTAAGATGGCCCAGTCACAGGCCCTGTTCCTTTTTTTTTTTTTTTTTTTTAATGTTATGTATATAAACACTTTACTGAACCATAACACACAGACCGGGAAGGACACAAGCCCAAGTGCACGGCTTCACGAATCTTCCCCATGAACACCCTCCTGTAATGACCACCCAGAACGAGAACTAGATAGAACATGAGCAGCACCCAGAAGCCCCCCAGTCCCCCTTCTAGTCACCATCCCTGCTCCCAAGGGTAGCCCCTCTCTTGCTTTAGTCTTGTCTGTCCATGAACTTTGCATATGTTGAACCACACGGCGCGCGCCCGTGCCTGGCCGCTAAGCCCGTGTGTGTTGGTGCATGGAGCAGTGGTGGGTTTATTCTCCTTACTGGGTACAATCCCATTGAGTGAATAAATCACAAATCACTTACTTTATAGATACTGCGGTTGATTCTGAGGCCCCAGGAGTTTGCCAGGTTGCCCTTTCTGTTTTTCTTACCTCTTTTGAATTTTGTATTTGAAAATTAGTGGTTTTTTTTCTTAAATCTTTGGTCGGGTTCTATGTAAGGACAAGGAACTTGGCTTTCTAAAGGTAATGAACTTCCAGCCTTGACGTCTGTAAAATACTACTTAGAAAAACAAAAATAGCAAAGGTACTTGTCCAAAAAAAAAAAGTATTATTGCAGAAATAATACATAAACATTCAAAGAATTTCAGAAGTTTCTGAGGTTAAAAAGTGAAGACTTCTCCCCCTTCCTACTTCTTACTGGTACCACTGTTCACAGTCTGGAGTGGTGCTGTCCTGTATGGTAGCCACTGCCACATGTGGCTACTTAAATTTAAATTAATAACAATTATATGCAATTGAAAATTCAGTTCTTCAGTCCCAATAGCCACGTTTCTAGTGCTCAGTAGTCATGTGTGTCTAGTGGTATAGATCTAGAATATTTCATCCTTATAGTGTACTCTTCTCAATCTTTCTGTACATATACTATCACATGTTTCTTTTTTCATCCAAACTGTTTGATACACACAGCTTATTTTTCTCATGTAACATATCAATTTGTTCCTTTGTGATGTTTTGTTTGTTCATACGCCTTTGTGCTCGGTGCTAGAGATGTCAGGGTAGGCAAAACCAGAGAGGATTCCTGCTTTCATGGCCTTTATTGGGTCACAGAGAAGAATTAACCAAAATAGCATGCCAAGGAATGTGCACTTACAAACTGGGAGGAGGGATCTGAAGGAAAAGTGTGTGGTTTTATGAATAAGGAACTTGACGTAGACCCCAGGGTCAGGAAGGCCTCTAATCTGACCTCAGGTCAGAGGGGTGGATTGGTGGGGGAGGAGTGTTCTTGGCAGAAGGAACATTCTGTGCACAGGCACAGCTCAGACCAGGAGTAGGAGCATGGTGTGTCCAAGGCCCTGATTGAAGAGAAGGCACGAGGCTGGGGTGCAGAGAGCACTGGGGAGGTTTGATCCTCACTTGAGAGCAATGGCAGGGATTGTTCCATTTCCAGAGAAGGAGAGAGATTTAGCTCTTTCTTTCTAACAACTATACTGCAGAACTGTGCCATAATCTCTTTAAATCATGCCCTGTTGGTCTGGCTTGTTCTTGCTTTTTTAAGCAAGCAGACTACCCCATGTTGAGTCTACCTCTTGGTTCTTCTGGAAGGAGGAATGAGTGGGGGCCATGTGTGTGATAGGACAGTTGGGGCTGGCTAAGAAAGTTTGTGCACAAGATAGACATTCATAAAATCCGTGTATTCACTCACCACTTACCTACATTGTCTCAGCAAACATTCATTGAGTGGTAGCAGGGCCCCTAGCCAGGGCTGGGTCTGGGTTGCAGAGGTGGTTAGGTGGTCCGGAGCCTCATATGGAGCCAGGATGCCTGGGGTGGGGGTTATTTCTGGCACAATTCAGCCTCCTCCCCATAGTTATCTTTGGTCTCTTCTACCTGTGCCTCTGGATATAGCCACCTGACTTTAGGGATCTGCCAGAATGGGAGCCCAGGATCCGAGAGCCCTTCCGCAATGGTGACTTGGACTCCAAGCCTGACCCCAGCCGGAGCTTCAGACCTTACCGAGCTGAAGACAATGATTCCTACGCCTCTGAGGTGGGTCTAGGCCTCAACAAGCAAGGGATTGAGTAGGAGGAACATGGCCAGGGCCTTCCCCCAAATAAAGTGATGCATAGAGGATCTTAGCTGGTGAAGATAATGGGTTTTGAGCATTCTATTTGGTTCCAAGCTTCCTGGCAGCCAGGGCAAAAAGGGAAATAAGGAAGTTAGAGCTATTCTCATGGCCTAATCAGAGGAAATTTATGAGCTCATCTGAAGAAATTGATTTTTTTTTCTATAGTAAATCTACTGGTAATTTAATAATTTACATTATTTCATGGAAATACTAATTTATGTGGCAGGAAGGCAGCAGTCTCTACACTCAGGCTGTTTGGGTTTAAATCCACTCTACACTGGCTGTGAAATCTTGGATAAATCATTTCACTGAGAATCATTTCTGATTCTTGGTTTTCTTACCTGTCAAATGAAGGTGCCTCTTGAGGTTGTTGAAAGGATTAAATACACAATAAAACCTTAGCTTGGCTAGGCAAGGTGGCTCACGTCTGTAATCCTAGCACTCTGGGAGGCTGAGGTGGGATGATCGCTCAAGGTCAGGAGTTCGAAACCAGCCTGAGCAAGAGCAAGACCCCGTCTCTACTATAAATAGAAAGAAATTAATTGGCCAACTAAAAATATATAGAAAAAATTAGCCAGGCATGGTGGCGCATGCCTGTAGTCCCGACTACTCAGGAGGCTGAGGCAGGAGGATTGCTGGAGCCCAGGAGTTTGAGGTTGCTGTGAGCTAGGCTGATGCCATGGCACGCTAGCCTGGGCAACAGAGCGAGACTCTGTCTCAATACAAATAAGCAAACAAACAAACAAAAAAAACCTTAGCTTAAGGCCTGGTCCATGTTGGGTGAGGATGTCGATGATGATGAGGATGATGATGATGATACAACCCGGGGACTCAGTGGACCTGAATTCAAGTCTCAGTTCTATCTGAGCGGCTGTGTGACCTTGGACATGTTCCTCCCCTCCGGCCACAGCTTCCTTGTCTGTAATAGGGGAGGGTTAGGGTGAGTGGTCTGTTAGGATAGAACTATTAGGATTCTCTGGTCCTCCAGGAATTCTGGGTGGTTCTGAGCCTCCCCCAAGCCTACTGAGCCTATCCTCTGTTTCTCTTACTGAACCCGAAGCTGGAAAAGGCTCCTGTGGACTGGGTGGGGTACTCCTGTGACTCCTGCAGCGTGGAGGGTCCTGTGTATATCCCAGCCTGAGCACGCTTTTCTTCTGAGCGTCCCTGGGAAGACGACTCTGGTCCCAGGAAGGCCAGCCCATAACCATCCATGGAGGAGAAACTTCCTTGAAGCTGCTGGGTCAAACTCACTAAGTTAGGTGGTCTGAGCTTCCTAAAAGCCATGGCATAAAGAGAAGAAAATGAAATAGTTAGAAAGGAAATAGGCCTATGCCTATAGGCTCATTTGTAGAGAGAATAACTTCCCGCATGCATTCAGTCATTTCATTCAGCCACTCTTTATTGAGCAGTTTAATTGCCCAGCCCCGTGTTGAACACTGAATTGAAGGAGGATACCAGAGAGAGAGAGAGAGCACAGTAGTTAGCCCTGCAAGGATTTTTAAAATATTTGATCATTTATTTATGCATTCAAAAAATCTAAAGCTGGTGTGACTTGTGATCCATAGGATGTAACCACAAACGTCTGGTCCACTCATTTATTCAACACATATTGGCTGGGCACCTCCCAGGCTAGGTGTGACAGGTGACAATCCAAAGACAAGCACATTCCACATCCTTCATGGAACATAATTTTCTCAGAGCAAACAGGAAAAGAAGGACAAATATATACATATATATATATATACACACACACACACACACACACACACAAAGGAGATAATTCGAGAGCTCAGTAAGAAAATAAAAGAAATAGGTGATAAAGCAAAACAAAGTCCTAAGAGGGATTGAGTTTAGGAGACTACCTCCATCTCTCTCCGTTGCTAATGTCTGGAAGACATTGGCCTGCAAGGATTTTTAATACAAAACAGGTGTACAGGATATACCTCAAGTCAGCGTGCCTTCCATTGCCAAATTATCACATTATTGGCCATATAATATAAATCTCTATTTTCTTTCACAAAGGGACATCTGCCATGCCTGGGAAGATTTTATGCAGGAGTTGGGGCTGACATTTCCCTGCCCCCGTTTTCCCCTTGCTTAATAAGATAGCGTAAGCATTTCCCTATGTTACCTGACATGCTTAAAAAAAATGTTATCAACTATAACACACATACAGAAAAGTGCTCGTATTGTTAAGTCAATGAGCAAAAGTGCTCACTATTGTTAAGCTCAAATAATTCTTACAAACCAAACAGTCCTATGCAATTAGCACCTAGACCCAGAAAACAGAGCAGAACCTGCCCCTGGAGGTCCCTGTGTACTCTACTAGTCACCGTCTGTACTTCTACCCGAATAGGTTAATTTTGCCTACTTAGCTACAAATTTTTAAAACACAATTTCTGGCCGGGCGCAGTAGCTTATGTCTGCAATCCTAGCACTCTGGGAGGCCAAAGCGTGAGGATCGCTCAAGGTCAGGAGTTTGAAACCAGCCTGAGCAAGAGTGAGGCCCTGTCTCTACTAAAATATAGAAAGAAATTAATTGGCCAACTAAAAATATATATAGAAAAAATTAGCCGGGCATGGTAGCGCATGCCTGTAGTCCCAGCTACTCAGGACACTGAGGCAGAAGGATTGCTTGAGCCCAGGAGTTGGAGGTTGCTGTGAGCTAGGCTGATACCACAGCACTCTAGCCCAGGCAACAGAGTGAGACTCTGTCTAAAAAGAAAACCACTATTTCCCCCCAAAATGTACTTTTACCTTTTTCTTTAGATCTTTTTACATAGTTATTATAAACAATAAATAACAATAAATGTCTCCATCAGGGTTGGCTGCTAATCAAGATAATAGGGCTGGGAGTGGTGGCTCATGCCTGTAATCCTAAGATCCCTAAGTAGCATTGTATAGAGATATTAAGAAGAAAGTCAACATTATAAGATCTTCATGTAGTTAACCACTGTTTACATTTAGTGTTTGTCCATGTCCTTTATTTGTTTTTCTATTGAAGTATATGTCTTTTCTTTTGTTTTTTTATTTTCCATTGAAGTATAATATAATAATATACACACAATAAAGGACAGTGGCTGGGCGGGGTGGCTCACGCCTATGATCTCAACACTTTGGGAGGCTGAGGCAGGAGGATTACTTGAGCCCAGGAGTTTGAGGCTGCAGTGAGTTGTGATTGCGCCACTGCACCCTAGCCTGGGTGGCAGAGTGAGAGACCTTGTCTCTAAAAAAACCCAAACGCTATCCTTAAGTGTACAGTTGAGTGGATTTTTACATATGTATAGACCCATTAAACACACTTTAGTCCCTGTCATTTATTATCTAAGTTGTTTCTAAAACTTCACAGTTATTTATTTTTTTGAGACAGAGTCTCGCTTTGTTGCCCAGGCTAGAGTGAGTGCTGTGGCGTCAGCCTAGCTCACAGCAACCTCAATCTCCTGGGCTCAAGCAATCCTGCTGCCTCAGCCTCCCGAGTAGCTGGGACTACAGGCGTGCACCACCATGCCCGGCTAATTTTTTCTGTGTATATTAGTTGGCCCATTAATTTATTTCTATTTATAGTAGAGATGGGGTCTCGCTCTTGCTCAGGCTGGTTTTGAACTCCTGGCCTCGAGCAATCCACCCGTTTCACAGCATATTGTTTTCTTCATATAAATTGCAAAAAGAGATGATCAAAGTGAAATGATAACAATGGCTAGATTTGATACGCAGTGTTTCATTTAATCGTCGTGTCTGCCCACAGAGGTGGGCTGTGCCTGATCTGTACCTGGGCAGCTTGGGCCTGGTTTACTATAGCTCCCCTACCACTCCAGTCCTTAGCTCACAGCTTCTGTCTTTTTCCTCCTCTCTCTGCCTCCTTCTCATCTGTGTCCCCTGTCCCCACCCCAGATCAAGGAGCTGCAGCTGGTGCTGGCTGAGGCCCATGACAGCCTTCGCGGCTTGCAAGAGCAGCTTTCCCAGGAGCGGCAGCTTCGGAAGGAAGAGGCTGACAACTTCAACCAAAAAATCGTCCAGGTGCGTGGTGCCCTGCGCCTTCCACGCACCTGCCCCAGCAGCCTCTCTGAGCTGGAGGCAGAGGCCCTGGGGATGCGTGGGTCCTCAGAAGGCGGGGATGTCGGCCCCCATCCCCTGCTCGTGTGTTCCTGCACTTGTGATTATGCATTAGCTGTGTTGGGCTGGACCTGTCATTGGCCGGTGTGACTTGGGTCAGTCCTGTTTTCTCTCAGGACCTCAGTTTCCCATCTATGAGACGGTGCCCCCATCAGGGTTGGCTGCGAATCACGATAATAGGGCTGGGTGTGGTGGCTCACACCTGTAATCCTAGCACTCTGGAAAGCTGAGGCCAGAGGATTGCTTGAGTCCAGGAGTTCGTGATCAGCCTGAGCAAGAGCGAGACCCCTTCTCTGCTAAAAATAGAAAAAAATCAACCAGCCGTGGTGACATGTACCTGTAGTCCCAGTTATTTGGGAGGCTGAGGCAGGAGGATCACTTGAGCCCAGGAGGTTGAGGTTACAGTGAGCTATGATGAAGCCACTGCGCTCTAGCAGGACCCTGTCTCAAAAAAAAAAAAAAAATCCTGGAATAGCCTTTATTAAGCCCATACTGTATACCAGGCCTGTGCAATGCACTTTCCACACATTAAGTCCTTTAGTCCTCTTGCCTATGAGGTGTCCCCATTTTACAGATGGGGAAACTGATGCCCAGATAGCTAACGTGCTCTGCCCAGGGTTGCACATCCAGAGCAAAGTGGGGCTGGGACTGGAATCCAGGTCCCTTTGACCATGACACTGTGTTGCTTTCTAGGGCATTGCATGTCTGTCAGCCTCAGTCCCAGCATGCCCTTTGCCCTCCACGGGAGTCACCCTCCCTGCCATCATGCTCACCCCGGTGGCTTCCTCATTGAATGTGAAAGCTCATGTGAAACACTGGGCGCCCAGTAGGTGCTCAGTACATGATGTCATGGTTTTTGCAGTCAGACAGCCATTGTCCCTGTGGTACTGCTGCTTTTATGAGCTTCCCTTCCCTGGAGGAGCAGAGGGCAATGCCGATTTCAGTAGAATGAGCTGCTCGAGGTGGGATCCCGGGCAGCGATCACCCACAGGCCCCTCGCAGATTTAACCCCCTGCCTTGTCCGGGGTCTGCGTGGGGTGGGGTAGTGACCAGCGAGCCGGGCTTGCTCAAGCGGTTGTCCCCCTGCAGCTGAAGGAGGACCAGCAGAGGGCGCTCCTGAGGCGGGAGTTTGAGCTGCAGAGTCTGAGCCTCCAGCGGAGGCTGGAGCAGAAATTCTGGAGTCAGGAGAAGAACATGCTGGTGCAGGAGTCCCAGCAGTTCAAGCACAACTTCCTGCTGCTCTTCATGAAGCTCAGGTGGTTCCTCAAGCGCTGGCGGCAGGGCAAGGTTTTGCCCAGCGAGGGGGATGACTTCCTTGAGGTATGATTGAGCCTGGGCCTGGGCCTGGGACTGTGGTGGGGAGGGCGGGGGCAGGGGTAGGGAAGGGACACTCAGCTGGTGTTGACACAACTCTGAGGCCCATAGCTGTGCCCTGGGTTAGCAGGTTTCCCTCCCTGCATTCGTGGGCTCATTCAGCGTCTATTGGTTGTAACCAGCCCTTTACTGGGCACATGGCAGGTGGCGGGTACACCATGGTGGGGAAGATAGACCCAGTCCTGCCACAGCACGAGAAGGTCCCTTGGGTCTGGTTGGTCTTTTACACAGCGTCTTTAGCAGACAGCAGTATCTAGGTGAATTTAATAATCTAGTTTTGCTGGGTGTGGTGGCTCACTTCTATAATCCTAGCACTTTGAGAGGCCAAGGTGGGAGGATCACTTGAGGCTAGGAGTTCAAGGCCAGCCTGGGCAACATAGCAAGACCCCACTCCTGGTCTTTACCAAAAACAAAACAACAAATCAGCTTGGCATGGTTGTGAGCACCTGTAGTACCAGCTACTCAAGAGACTGAGGCAGGAGGATCACTTGAGCTGTAGGAGTTGAGGGAAACAGTGAGCAATGATCATGCAATTGCACTTTAGTTTGGGCAACAGAGTGAGACCCTGTCTCAAAAAAAGAAAATTAATCTAGTTGTAAAGTTGTATTACATACAGATATATATTTATATTCAGTGCCCTGAGAGGCGGTGCACCTCAACCTACACAGTGCCGAGGGCCGAAGTTAACATGTGGGGAATCAGTGCTGGGCCAGGATGCCTTAGGCCCCTGTGCATCCTGCCTGCCTGGCTGTGCAGCCCCTCTGTCTGGGCTCCTGGAGCCCTAAATGTGACATCTTCCCACCTCCTGTTGAGTCTGTTTTTTTAAAAAAATAGGTAAACAGCATGAAGGAGCTGTACCTGCTGATGGAGGAAGAGGAGATCAACGCTCAGCATTCTGATAACAAGGCCTGCACAGGGGACAGCTGGACCCAGAACACAGTGCGTCCTCAGCCCTTTCCCGGTCCTGTTCTGTCCACTCATTCCTTTGTCCGTCTACTGATCACTTCCTGCTGCCTTCTCTGGGCACTGGGCACCCGTGCCGCACAGGGTTGTCACTTGGTCACTTGCTCTCAGGTGCTCAGTGCCATGGGGTGTATAAGTCATCCCAGGGCAGTGACAGAGTGCTAGATGATGGACTTGGGGCCACAGGTGAGAGAGCAATTAATTCTACTTGGAGTATAGGGGACCGTATCACAGAGGAGGCGCTGTACGGAGTGGGTTTGAAGGATGAATAGGAGCTTGCCTGATAGAGAATGGGGTGAGGACCACTGTGGACCCAGAGAACTGTGTGCGCAGAAGTGTGGCAAGGTATGCTGGGCCTGGGTGTGGCTCAGGATGTATATAGCAGGGGCGAGGACATCAGGCTAGGGGCATATGAAGAGGGGCCTTGTGGCCTGGGGTCAGGAGCTCTCAAATCAAGCCATAGGTCAGAGAGAGCCGGGGCTCAGGATCCCGGGGTCACACACGAGCTGGGGTGCGGGTGGGAAATGAGGTTATGGGCCCAGGAGAGATTTGGGACTGAGTCAGTCACGGTTAGGGAGGCTCCGTGGATCAGACGTCACATCTGGCCTGCAGCGGGCCAGAGAGGCTGACCCTGAGCAAAGAGAAAGACACACGACCTAACACTGCAGGGTCTCGAAGCATTCGGATTGCTCAGCTTAGATTCAGGCTGAATAATTACTACTGTAACTGCACGATTTTCTGTTTATGTCGGGTTTGGGACTCACGTCAGCCTAGGAGGTGGCCAGGGCTGGGCTTGTCATCCCCATCTCATGTGGGTGAGATGACCTAGAGAGGTCACGGGACCTGCCCAAGGCCTGGGAGAGTCCCAGCTGGACTCCTAGTGAGTTCTGTGAGCCCAGGCTCCGCTCCTCTGACCCCACCGTGCCTCTGTCTGCAGCCCAACGAGTACATCAAGACCCTGGCCGACATGAAGGTGACGCTGAAGGAGCTCTGCTGGCTGCTCCGGGATGAGCGCCGTGGTCTCACTGAGCTTCAGCAGCAGTTTGCCAAGGCCAAGGCCACCTGGGAGACGGAGCGGGCAGAGCTCAAAGGCCATGCCACCCAGGTGAGGCCCCCACCTGTCAGAGACATCTGCCCCCTTGCAGTCAGCCTAGCCTTCAGCTGTAGGATCTGGGAGCAGGCTGCCCAAGCCATGGTCTTGGAGGCGTAGGAACCCCCTGGCTTTGCCTTGCTGCCCAGAGAGGGCAAGAGGCTTGCCTCGAATCACACAGCAAGGGCACCAGAAACAGAGGGGAGTGGGAGTCACTGGAGCAGGGAAGGAAGGCAGGGGATTGACAAAGAGGCACAGGTGAGGCCAGTGTGCTTAAATGCCTGTCTGCACCTGGTGATGCTCTTCACACCACATGGTGACCGCATGGGCTGTCCTTGTAGGAGCGCCTTAACCCTGTTACCTGGGCCTGGTTTGCTCCCTCTACCAAGACTGGGGGCCTTCCCCTCTAACAACCCAGCCTGACAGAGGAGCCTTAACCAGGAGCTCTGGGAGTCTGGGGTCTGCTGTGTGCCTGGGGCAGGCTGCTGCCCGCGTCTGGCCTGGCAAGTGAGAGGGTGGCTTCCTGCACTCAGAGAGAGCGGCGGCCCCAGCTCTGTGGTGCAGGCTGCCTTCCCGGCATCGCCCGCCCCTGCGAGGTGGCACTGTGATGATTTCCACTGGACAAATGACAGAATAGGCACAGAGGGGTGAAGTCTTCTTCCAGTGTCTCCTGGCTCATGAGTGGCAGACTAATCTGTGCTCCCCAAACCTCTGCCCCTCCTGGCTTCCCATGGCCCGATTCTACCATCCTCCCAGTGCCACGGACTGCTGGCTTCTTCCTGGGGCCACCGTCTACCCTGCTGATCTCACAGCTCCCGCCCACCCGCACACTCCACTGTGTGCCCGGCTCCCACTGCACCCCCAAACCCAGCCATTCCAGGTGCTCCTCCCACTAGCACCTGACCGGCCCTGTACAGGCTGGTTTCCGGGCCACAGCCAGGGGAATGTGGGGGACATTGAGTCTTGAGGTTACACGTTTCCCTCCTGCCACCCTGAGGTCTGGGGCCAAGAAAGCCATCATGCTGGGGTGATTCCTGCACATACATGTCACATGACTGCGTGTGCGTGTCCCCATGCGGGGCCTGTGGGAGACAAGGTGAAGCCCCAGCTCTCTAGGAGGAGATATATATAAATAACATGTCACCCATTACCAAAGCCCATACTGCCGCCAAGAGTTGATGAACTACCATGAGAAATAGTAACTGGGAACCTCTGCCATGTCGTTGCTATGTGACCTGGGACAAGCAACCCCTTTGAACCTCTTCCTCCTCTGTAAGATATGGGCAGTGCTAGTTGTTGCAGAGTCTTCACAAGGACACTGACATGATGCCTGGAAAGCCACAGCGCAGAGCTTGGCTTGTGGGAAGAGCCCTACAAGCCCGTATTGTGAGGAGGGGTCAGTTCTGCGTGAGGAGATCAGCCAAGGCTTACCAGCTGAAGGGTCTTCCCGGGAGACCTCTGTCCCCCTGCCCGCTGCTGGCACCCAGGAGGGGAGGCGGGAGGAGGCAGAGAGGAGGGGCCGCCTGGTACCAGCTGCCCTGTCTGCGTCTCTCCACAGATGGAGCTGAAGGCTGGCAAGGGAGCCGCGGACAGGGCGGGGCCCGACTGGAAGGCAGCCCTGCAGAGGGAGCGTGAGGAACAGCAGCACCTCCTGGCCGAGTCCTACAGCGCAGTCATGGAGCTCACGCGGCAGTTGCAGATCAGCGAGCGCAACTGGAGCCAGGAGAAGCTGCAGCTGGTAGAGCGGCTGCAGGGTGAGAAGCAGCAGGTGGAACAGCAGGTGAAGGAGCTGCAGAACCGCCTAAGTCAGGTGAGGCCTCCCCCCTACCCCCAGAGGTAGGTTCTCCTTCAGGTATAGCTGGATCCAGGTGCTTAGAGAATGCAGTAGGAACCAGATCTTTCTCTCTGACTCAGTTGCTCAAGCATGTGTTCCTCTGTGTTAGGTTTACTCTTTTTTTTTCTTTTGAGACAGAGTCTCACTCTGTTGCCCTGAGTAGATGCTGTGGTGTCAGCCTAGCTCACAGCAACCTCAAACTCCTGGGCTCAAGCAGTCCTTCTGCCTCAGCCTCCCAAGTAGCTGGGACTTACAAGCATGCACCACCATGCCCGGCTAATTTTTTCTATAGATATTTTTAGTTGTCCAGCTAATTTCTTTCTATTTTTAGTAGAGACTGGGTCTCGCTCTTGCTCAGGCTGGTTTTGAACTCCTGACCTTGAGCAATCCGCCCGCCTTGGCCTCCCAGAGTGCCAGGATTACAGGCGTGAGCCACTGCACCCGGCCAATACAGTGACATTTAGAAGGACGCTCGCAAGTAGTTGCTTTTGTTATCATTTTCCAAATCCACCTGTGGGTGGCTCAGAGCTGCTCCCCTCTGAGAAGATGGCCCCGAGCCCATGATGCGGGTCCTCTGAGCTGCAGAGTGGAGCCTAGGGAGTGGCCCTGCCCTGAGCGGGACCCCGTTGACCAGCTTCACCTGCCACTGACCCACCCCTTTGCCCTTCTCCAGCTGCAGAAGGCTGCCGACCCCTGGGCCCTGAAACACTCGGACCTGGAGAAGCAGGACAACAGCTGGAAAGAGGTGAGTAGCGCGGTTGCCACCCGTGTTCTCTTGGCTCCTTGCTCCACTGGAAAGTTCCCTGCTTGTGGGGGACATGACGGAAGGATGCTAACCCTATCCCACCGGGCCATGCCCGCGTGCCTTGGGCTCCTCGGCCCTGGGTCTCTTCCACATGGTTCCTGCCTGTGGTTTGGGGTGTGGGCAGGGTCCTCTGCCAGTGCCATCCCTCCATGTCCAGGAGGAACCTTTGGCCTCTCTTGGTTTTAGTTGTGCCCTATGAAAAGCAAGGCCCCTAAATAGCTGTGTGATCTTGGATAAGTCACTCTCCGTCTCTGAGCCCCAGTTGCCTCTTTGGTAAATGAGAATCGCATTTTCTGCCTTAGCCTAGCCCTGGGTGTGAAGATCAGTAAGGCCACATTGGTGGAGTTTGCATATAGGCCTCAGGTGCCAGCTGTCACGTAGCAGCACACCGCATAACCAAACAGCGAGCCGCAGGCCCTTCGCATCTCCCCGTCCCGTCCTCATGATGGCCTGTGGAAGTGGTGCATCAGTCAGGAGACTTGGTTGCAAACAAACACTGATTCTGGGGAGCTGAGGCAGGAGAGGGTTTTATTGCGGGCTCAAGTGGACTGGGGGTGCAGTTCAGAAAACCAGTGCAGGTCAGGTCGCAGGGGACTGTCTGTGGATCCAGGGTGGGCCAAGCCCAGAGCAGTCGCTGCCAGGCCGTGGCCGTCAGCACCAACTGAACAGTGGGCCACTGATGCTGCCGCCACATTTAGAATAAGAATGGTCGCTCTCTCCTCGAGGTCACTTTTGGAGCTCTGATTGGCCCAGCCTGGATGACGTAATTCTGGTGGGGACTTAGATGCAGCACAGCCAGGAACTGCCCAGTGGGCATTCGAGACCGTTGGTGACACCAGCCCCGCTCTACAGATGAGGAGAATTAGGCTTTGAGGTCCAGGCTCAGCTCCCACACTAGCCTCCTGCCACCTGCCCTCGGTGCTCTGGTGGCCAGGACTGACCCTCCTGTCTCTCGCCCTCGACAGACATGCAGTGAGAAGATCCACGACAAGGAGGCTGTTTCTGAAGTCGAGCTTGGGGGAACCGGCTTAAAGAGGTACTGGCTTGTGGGTCTCCTGCTCCGCCCCACAGCCCCGCCCCAGCCCCACCCCTGCCCCACCCATTTGCCTCTCTCCTCTCCCCTTTCCCCGTCTACCATGCACCTCATCAGAGCTGGGAGAGCATGGGGACGGGGTTTCTCTGGAACCCAAGCCACTCAGGGGCTGGAAACCCCGGGCAGTGGCAGCTGCAGCCGGCAGTTTATTGTCTGTTTGCTTCTGGGCATGGAAAGCAGGCCCAGCATGTCCTTGCTGGGAAGGGACATGTTTAGCTCCTCTCGGGATCCCGTTTCTTGTCTCTGGAGTTAGGAGAGTCAGGATAGACATCCGGTCCTAGGATTATTGAATTTTGGCCTGTGGTGTGGCTGGGGGGACCCCCAAGACTATAAGGACTATAGTTGCAGTTAGGAAACCAATGAAAGGAGTGAGGGAAACAACCCTACAGGAGCCTTCGAGAGCAGCCCGGGAGCAAAGCAGGCCTCGGGTAGGAGGATGGGCCTTGGAGTCGGAGGGCCAGGTTTGAATTCCAGCCCTGCCGTTTCTAGTTCCAAGACCTTGGGCCGCATTTCATATCTCCATCTCCTAGAGTTATAGGAGCTCCTCCTAGAGTGATGGGAGTGCCCGGGTGCTTCCGTGTGCCTGGCTCTTTCCGTCTCCAGACAACACATGCGCCAGGTCTGCGCTGGGCATTTCATGTGCATTACTTTGAGTTCCCCCGGAAGCAAACACTGAGCCAAGGATTTAAGTGCAAATGGTTTACCTGGGAGAAGATTCCAGGAAGCACCTGGAAGTGAGACAGGAAAAGAACAGGCAGCTATAAAAGGAGTGTCAACCAAGTTACCCCATTGGTACCTGGAGTGCAGTCTTGCTCAGGAGCAGAGTAGAACATGCAAGTGATAGTTACCCCCCAAGGAGCAAGGAGCCCAGGGTACTCGTTCACCAAATCCCACCTGTCGTCGTTGAAGGCTGCGTGTCGGGGCATAGACCCTGCTGGTTCCTGCTGCTTGTCTGTGGAGGCCAAGTACGAACCTACAGGCAGAGAAAAGGCCCTCAGGTAGGGAAAGGCAGGCGTTCAGCAGGCAGTGTGGGGTGCGGCGTGTAGGTGAAGTGCGGAGAGAATGGAGGCTGGGCACCAACGGCGTCCGCTACACGAGGTGGACCAGACAGCTCTGGTCCGCCGTGCGCAGCCCGGAGTGGGCGCTCAGTGCGTGTTGTTTCCCCTGATACCACGTTTCCTCCTCTGCCCTTGCAGGACCAAATCTGTTTCTTCCATGTCTGAGTTTGAAAGTTTGCTCGACTGTTCCCCCTACCTTGCCGGCGGGGATGCCCGGGGCAAGAAGCTGCCCAGCAGCCCTGCCTTTTCCTTTGTTAGCTCTGAGCCCGTGGATCCTGAGAAAGATGCCAAGGAAAAGCCGGGGCTCTCGCCAAGGGACTGCAACCGCCTGGGCGCCCTGGCCTGCCAGGACCCCTCGGGGCGGCAGATGCAGCGCAGCTACACGGCGCCCGACAAGACGGGCATTCGCGTCTACTACAGCCCCCCCGTGGCCCGGCGCCTGGGCGTCCCTGTGGTCCATGACAAGGAGGGCAAGATCATCATCGAGCCCGGCTTCCTCTTCACCACAGCCAAGCCCAAAGAGTCGGCCGAGGCCGACGGGCTGGCCGAGAGCTCCTACGGCCGGTGGCTCTGCAACTTCTCACGGCAGCGCCTGGACGGAGGCTCGGGGACCAGCCCCTCAGCGGCCGGGCCTGGCTTCCCAGCAGCCCTGCGTGACTTTGAGATGTCGGGCAACATGAGCGACGACATGAAGGAGATCACCAACTGTGTGCGCCAGGCCATGCGCTCGGGCTCGCTGGAGAGGAAGGTGAAGAGCACATCCAGCCAGACGGTGGGCCTGGCCAGCGTCGGCACCCAGACCATCCGCACGGTCAGTGTGGGCCTGCAGACTGACCCGCCCCGCAGCAGCCTCCACGGCAAGAGCTGGTCACCCCGCAGCTCCTCGCTCATGTCCGTGCGCAGCAAGCAGATCTCCTCCTCCCTGGACAAGGTCCATTCGCGCATCGAGCGGCCCTGCTGCTCACCCAAGTATGGCTCGCCGAAGCTCCAGAGGCGGTCCGTGTCCAAGCTGGACACCGCCAAGGACCGCAGCCTGTGGAACCTCCACCAGGGCAAGCAGAATGGCTCGGCCTGGGCCCGCTCTACCACCACGCGGGACAGCCCTGTGTTGCGGAACATCAACGACGGACTGTCCAGCCTCTTTAGTGTGGTGGAGCACTCAGGGAGCACGGAATCTGTCTGGAAACTGGGCATGTCCGAGGCTCGGGCCAAGCCGGAGCCTCCCAAGTACGGCATTGTGCAGGAGTTCTTCCGTAACGTGTGTGGCCGGGCACCCAGCCCCACCTCGGCAGCGGGAGAGGAGAGTGCCAAGAAGCCAGAGCCCCTCTCTCCGGCCAGCTACCATCAGCCAGAGGGTGTGGCCAGGATCCTGAACAAGAAGGCGGCCAAGCCAGGCAGCAGCGAGGAGGCCAGACCCGCTGTGCTCCCCCAGGTGGGGAAGGATGGAGTCCTCCGGGATGGAGATGGAGCCCTGGTCCTTCCCAGTGAGGTAGGTGGGGGGGGGGGCTGCCCTTTTTCTTGGGAGATGGGGTTAGCCGATAAGGTCCAAGCTCCTCTTTTGGTTTTTAAACTCAGGGAATATGGTTATGGGTCTCAAAAAGTTCTTATGCTGGTCTGGGATAGGGTTAAAAGGTTCTCGACCTGGAACGACACAGATGTGCTGGTCATGTGGTCTGAATGCCAAGAGATTAGTGAGCACGTCGAGATTGCCAGCACCCCCCGTAGGGAAGTGCTGTGCTCACTCTTCTCCCATTGCCCGGTGCTGTGCTGGAGCCAGCTGGCTTGGCTTGTGAGAGTCAGTCGTAAGCATCTCTGTTTAGTCATGTCACCTTGGTACCTCAAGACTGACCACGGTGGGAAGGATGCACACCATAAAAACTGGCAAACACTACAAGTCAGGGCTCCTCCCCTCAATCCCAGAAGACTAGCTATTAAACGTTAAGCAGCACACCACTTCCCCCACCCCATCAGGACTTCACACCGAAGTGCTCTCATTGTCTCTGAGGACCTTTTGCTGCACACCCCACTCCTGATAGCAATTTCTGATAAGTTAGGGAAGAATTGAATAATAGTAAAAGAATGCATATGGATTAGCTTTGCAGAAGGGCAAGGAAGAGTCTCTGAAGGATGGCAGAGTATCTTGTGGAACCCCAAGAGTAGAGACCTGAAGGCCTCAGCAGCTTCTCCCTGTCTCCTCCTCTTCTCTCTTGAGCTTCATTTTCTGTGATGTTCTTTTATCTTCTCTTCTTTCTGTCTCTCTGTTACATTTGCACAGGGGCTGGGTGGGCTGTCCTGGCTCTGGTTTTATGACATCTTCCAGTTCGAGCACCCAGAGGAGACTGACTCAGGTCCCTCTGTCCCAGTTCCACCTTTCTAGAATAAAGAAACTCTGATTGGTCTAGCTTGAGTCAGGTGTACCCCTTTGGTCCAGTCAGCTGTGGCTGGCCGCAGTACCATGTGTCCTGCTGTGGGTTCAGTGGGGGCACAGGTAGGGGCGCAGAGATGTGAGAAGCACTGTGATTGACTCAAAAGGTTAGCTTCCCTGTTGCTGTACATCCGGGTGGTTTCTGGTTTTGCTCTATTATAAACAATGCTGTGGTGAACATCTTGGTGCAAAAACATTTCTCCACATTTCAGATTATTTCCTTAGGTTTGAGTTGCAGAAATGGGATTATAGGATAAAAGAATATAAATTTTTTAAAGATATTTGAGAAATGGTGCCAAATTGATTTTCAAAAGAGTTTGTCCATGGCCGGGCATAGTGGCTCATGCCTATAATCCTAGCGCTCTGGGAGGCCAAGGGGGGGAGGATCGCTGAAGGTCAGGAGTTTGAAACCAGCCTAAGCAAGAGCGAGACCCCGTCTCTACTAAAAATAGAAAGAAATTAATTGGACAACTAAATATATATAGAAAAAATTAGCTGGGCATGGTGGCACATGCCTGTAGTCCCAGCTACTCGGGAGGCTGAGGCAGAAGGATTGCTTGAGCCTGGGAATAGGAGGTTGCTGTGAGCTAGGCTGATGCCACGACACTCTAGCCCAGGCAACAGAGTGAGACTCTGTCTCACAAAAAAAAAAAAAAGAGTTTGTCCAGTTTCTCCAGCCTCTGGTAGTGTATGGTAAGTGCTTTACTTTTCTATACTCTCATGCAGAGCTGGCTGTTGTCTAAAGAAATATTTTAAATATTTATTTCTATTTTTGTAACTTTCAATAAACTTTTACATTTAAATTTAATATTCATACGGAGCATACTGTAAGAGTATAGCTCGCTGAATTCTCACAAATGGAATACAGCCATTACAATTAGGGAGGGTTCTCTAGAGAAACAGAACCAATAGGATATAGAGAGAGAGTAGTGGGGAGAGAGAGATTTATTAAGAGGAATTAGCTCATGTGATCATGGAATCTGGCAAGTCCCTCGCTCTGCAGAGTGAGTCAGCAAGTTGGAAATCCAAGAGACCCAGTGGTACAGTTCCAGCCTGAGTCTGAAGGCTCGGGAACTAGGGAAGCTAATAGTTTAGTTCTAGTCAAAAGGCTGGCAGTCTACTGACCCAGGAAGAGCTGATGTTTCAGTCCTAGTCTGAAGGCAGGACAAAAGCCAATGTCTGTCTGAAGGCTGTCAGGAGGAAGAATTTCTTACTTGGGGGAGAGTCAGCTCTTTTGTTCTATTCAAGCCTTCAACTGATCGGATGAGGCCCACTGACATTAAGGAGAATTTAAATGTTAATCTCATCTAAAAATACCCTCACAGAAACACCCAGCATAATGTTTCATCTGGACACTCCATGGCCCAGTCATGTTGACATATAAAATTAAGCGTCACACCCATGTAACCCCAGCACCATGTCAAGAAACAACAGTACAAAGCCGGCTGGATTTTAAATGTTGATTTTAAAGTTGATCCAGGCACTGTGGCTCATGCCTGTAATCCTAGCACTTTGGGAGGCCAAGGATCACCTTGAGGCCAGGAGTTTGGAACCAGCCTAAGCAAAACAGTGGGACCCTGTTTCTACAAAAACTTTTAAAAAATTATCCAGGCATGAGGCCCGGCGCGGTGGCTCACGCCTGTAATCCTAGCTCTCTGGGAGGCCGAGGCGGGCGGATTGCTCAAGGTCAGGAGTTCAAAACCAGCCTGAGCAAGAGCGAGACCCCGTCTCTACTATAAATAGAAAGAAATTAATTGGCCAACTGATATGTATATAAAAAAAAAAAAATTAGCCGGGCATGGTGGCGCTGCCTGATTCCCGTACCGGAGGCTGAGGGCAGAAGATCGACTCGAGCCCAGGAGTTTGGTTGCTAGTGAGCTAGGCTGACGCCAGGCCACTCACTCTAGCCTGGACAGACAAAGTGAGACTCTGTCTCAAAAAAAAAAAAAAAAAAAAAAAAAAAAATTATCCAGGCATGGTAGCAGCGTATGCCTGTAGTCCCGGCTACTCGGGAGGCTGAGGCAGAAGGGTCGCCTATTCCCAGGAGTTAGAGGTTGCTGTGAGCTATGAGGATGCCGCTGCACTCTAGTCCTGGCAACAGAGTGAGACCCTGTCTCAAAAAAAAAAAAAAAAAAGTTGAAATATTTTTCAGTATATAAAAGGTACATGCTACCCATTGACCCAGTAGTTCTCCTTTTAGGAATATAACCTATGGAAATGTTCACAGAGGTTGAAGAAAATACATTTATAAAGAAATGTACTGGCCAGGTGTGGTGGCTCGCACCTGTAATCCCAGCACTTTGGGAGGCTGAGGGGAGAGGATCACTTGAGCCCAGGAGTTTGAGACCAGCCTGGGCAACATAGTGAGACCCTGTCTATACAAAAATTTTTTAAAAAATTAGCCAGGCATGGTGGCATATGCTTGTTGTTTCAGCTACTTGGGAGGCTGAATGGGAGGATCACTTGAGCCCAGGAGTTAGAGGTTGCAGTGAGATATGAACACACCTCTGCACTCCAGCCTGGGCAATAGAAAGCAACTTTGTCTCTAAAAAGAAAAAATATATATATACATTATTAATAAAAATTGCTAACCATTGTTAAGTGCTTAATAGGTTCTATGTCTACTGCTTTACATATCATGTCTGATTTGACTTCCACACTTTTGAGAAAGGTATCATATCCCTCATCTTAGAGAGAGGAGGCAGTCAAGGCTCAGAGAGGTTAAGTAACTTGCTGAAGGTCACACAGCTTATAAGTGGAAGAGCTGCGATTTGAACCAAGCAGTCTGGTTCTATGGCAGCAATTTTGACCATTATCCCTGTCTATTGGTAATAGTAAAAAATTAGAAACTACCCAAATGCACATCAAAAATGAATTGTATAAATAAATTATTTCCATTCAGTAGAATGGTCTAAAGGCCTTAAATAGGAGATCTAGACATACATAGTGACAGAAAAGTGCTCATGTTTTGCAGTTGCAAAATAAGCTGTAGGGAATGAGGTCATTTTGGCAAATGTATGTATATGCAATATGTTGAGAATTTATCTTTGATGTGTAGGACCATGGGCAGTGTCCACCCTCATTTCTGTGTAGTCCAGAGTATATTGTCATGGACATCCATTACTCTTCTTTTTTTTTTTTTTTTTTTTTTTTTTTTTTTTGAGACAGGGTCTCACTATGTTGCCCTGGCTAGAGTGCCATGTCGTCAGCCTCGCTCACAGCAACCTCCAACTCCTGGGCTCAAGTGATCCTCCTGCCTCAGCCTCCTGAGTAGCTAGGACTACAGGCATGCGCCACCATGCCCGGCCAATTTTTTCTATATATATATTAGTTAGCCAATTGATTTTTTTTCTATTTATAGTAGAGACCGGGTCTTGCTCTTGCTCAGGCTGATTTTGAACTCCTGACCTTGAGCGATCCACCCACCTCGGCCTCCCCCAGTGCTAGGATGACAGGCGTGAGCCACCGTACCCGGCCTCCATTACTGTTCTTTTTTTTTTTTTTTTTTTTTTTTTTTTTGAGACAGAGTCTCGCTTTGTTGCCCAGGCTAGAGTGAGTGCCGTGGCGTCAGCCTAGCTCACAGCAACCTCAAACTCCTGGGCTCGAGTGATCCTTCTGCCTCAGCCTCCCGGGTAGCTGGGACTACAGGCATGCGCCACCATGCCCAGCTAATTTTTTTTTTATATATATATCAGTTGGCCAATTAATTTCTTTCTATTTTATAGTAGAGACGGGGTCTCGCTCTTGCTCAGGCTGGTTTTGAACTCCTGACCTTGAGCAATCCGCCCGCCTCGGCCTCCCAAGAGCTAGGATTACAGGCGTGAGCCACAGCGCCCGGCCTCCATTACTGTTCTAATGGGAGAATAGCAATAAAAAGAAAAATTGATTCAGTGAAGGGCTGCAGGCCCTGGCACTGGCCCATTGGTGTATGGGCACAGCTGAGTCCAGATTCCTTGCCTGGCTGGCCACCCGGCTCCTGGTGGCACGTGATTCCTGGCTCCTGACTTCCTGCCTCTCTCTTCCTAGGATGCCGTTTGTGACTGTAGCACCCAGTCTCTCACCTCCTGCTTCGCCCGGCCGTCCCGCTCTGCTATCCGCCACTCTCCTTCCAAGTGCAAGCTGCACCCTTCAGAGTCCAGCTGGGGCGGGGAGGAGAGGGCGGCCCCCCCCAGCGAGTGACAGAGCGGCAGAGCTCCCCGCCTCAACCAGCCTGGTCCCTGGAGAGCAGGAGGGACCCAGCAGAGAGGAGGCGAGGGGGTGCGCCCTCAGCATCGCCCAGCCCTGGAGGCAGCAGCAGCTGCACCACTGCCAGCGAGCAGCTCTCACATCAAGGTAAAGCGGGGTCTCCTGCTGACTGCTGGGTGGTGAGCCCCAACTTCCCAGGGGAAGGCAATGAGTGGGAGAAAGACACAAACTGGGCTTTGGAAGCACCAACCGAGAGATCCGTCGAGAGCCGATCCTGGGGTCCTAAGGCAGAGCTTTGCCTGGTTCTACCCACGCCCACTTCTTGGAAGAGCCCGGGAAGGGTACATTTCCGGCCATGCCCTTGAGGAAGAGGGCTCGGAGAGATGTTCCCTGCTGATCTCACGCCCCTTCGCTGGGGGGTGACACCACTGAGAAGAGCAGGCTTTGCTGCAGGGCTCGACGAGGGGCTCCTGGCGGAGCTGGGCTGGGCATCACCCATCACCATCACCTCCTTCCCTCCACCCCCCCCCAGCCCTGCTGCCCTGGGTTTCCAGGACTCGGGGGTATGATAGGGCTGCAGCCAAGGCCAAGTGCCTGCTGGGCATCCTGGAGCCCTGGATCTCCCTGCCTGCAGCCTGGATGCAGCAAGAACTGGGAGGCGAGGTGGGAATGTGTGGGGCTCAGGGTTGGGGAGCTTTTGGAGTTGCCTCCCCTGCCAAGGTGACTCAGGCGGGCCCCAACCTTTTCAGGAGACTTCGTGAGGACAGAAATAGGTAGAGTCAGTCTTAAGACCTGGTGCATAGATAAATGCCTGAATGCCCACTGCCTTGATCTCGGGGCCTCTTTTGCTGGCGCCGTGTCTCCACTGTGTTTACATCCTGCAGCTGCTGGGGACAAAGACACTCCCTGTAGGAGACTCCTGGTCGGCCAGGTCAGGTCACGGAGAACTCCAAGAGGCCAGTGCCCAGGACGCAGCAGTGGGCCGGGGCCTGGAAACACATTTCTTGCCTAGATTGTTTATTTGAATTTTTCTTATTATAAATATTTAAGGCGGTTTACTTTATTTTAATAATTTAATTTACCCCCAAAGTCCCTAAGGTAATTTATTGGAGGTCAAGACACATATTCTTGCCACTGGGACAATGTGGGCCTTCTAACAGCATAGACAGCGTGGGGCCCCTCACGTGGACAAGGCCACTCAGCAGCCAGGCCTGGACACCTCGCCCTGGTCTCCTGGTCAGTCTTGGAGGGCCCCTCCCCAGAGCGGGAGCCCCGCTGATGGCTCCCCGACACTGCTGGCCTTTCGGCCTCAGAGCACTACTTGTCACTCCACACCTGGTACTTGCCTGGCCCCAGCAGTCAGTTTGTAAACACCCGCTGACAGGGTGGAGGGCTGGACTAATGTCACCACTCCCCAAGCATTCTCCATTTGCCTTCTCCTTTTCCTCCCTCCCTCCGACACCTTTTTTGTGTGTGTGCGTCCAATGTGGATTACTAAGGCTCTATTAAGAGCACGGAGAACACGGAGATCCCTCCAAGTTCCCCAAGTGAGAACTCGCAGGAAAACAGGACTGAACTTCGAGGACATTGTTTATTGCAGCTTTGCACATGGACCTGCGAGTGTCTACGAGCCTGCCTCAGTTCTCACCAGCCTGCCAGCCTTTTCACCAGCCTCTCTGCTTAGCCTCTGGCCGTTCACAGCTCTTCTCCCAGCCCCAGCTCCACTGCCTGCTGTTCCCCACATCCCGGGTGAGCTGCCCGAGCCATTGGTTGGATTGCAACACGGCTCGTTGCAGCGTGGGGAGGAGGGCCTCACATTCCTCCCCCTTGGTGCCAACGAACCATTTGGGCTGCATACACGCCCGCGCACACACAGACGTCAGCCCTCCTGTAACTGGCTGGGGACCCAGAATGGAAACACCAGGACAGATCGGCTCCTCTGCAGAATTCCTTATCCGGAAGAACAAAGGCCAGCAGCTTTGCTAGTTTGCCCCCAGGACTCAGGAGACACTCCTGCACGCCCACCTGCCACCAGTTCCCGTCCCACCCTTCCAGCACCACCTGGACCAGCTTGCCTGAGTCCTTTGTCTCCCTTCCCTGTAGGCTGAATATCAGGGTCGTGCCAGTCCCAGCCGCATCCTCATGCCATGGTGACGTGTGTGGGCAGAGCAGGCAGGCCAGTAGAGCTGTGGCCACTTTGCATCTGGGGTGCTGCTGCGCCCACCCAAGAGGTCAAGGGGACCCTCCAAGGTTTTCTCCAGGTGAGGGGACTCACACCAGGCCACAAGCCACCAGAGATCTTGTGCCACCTCCCAGAGCTGCAGAGGGCCAGGGAGGCTTCACTCCTGGCCTAGGGGAAAAATCCCCATGAGACCTGAACCCCAAGGCCTGTGGCCCACTCAGCCTTACCGTCGCCCTCATCCAAGACTGTCCTTGCCATCTTCGTTGTCTCGGCATCCAGGCCCCCTGGCCCCTAGCCACTGTCTGGGGCTCCAGATCTCCCAGTTTCTACGTCCTGCATGCCACTGTGCAAGGCCACTCGTCACTGTTCCTGCAGAAGCCTCTGGACGTGGGGCTTGATGGGGTTGAAAATGTTACATGTAAATATTGGTTTGGTTTGGTTTGGTTTTTAGCATTTTACTTGGTAACTGGTTGTGTTTTCCTTTTTAGGGTGGGGGGATTGGTTTGTAAAAACTTTTTGCTCTTTTGGAATGTAATTTTTAAGTTTATTTGTTTCTTCAAATGCCTTCTAAGTCTTGGTAACATTCCCAAAGCAGAAAACTGCCTGACCCACAGTGGGGATTCCCTGGAGGATTGGGTCCCAGGAAGGAACGCCGCCCTTCCCTTTTTCCTCTTCTGCTGTGCCCCTTCCTTCCTCTCCTCTCTGTCCTTCTTTCCCTTTTTCTCATCTCTGCTCTCTTCAACCAAAGTCCCAAGGAATCCTGGCATCCCCATCCCCTACAGACTGCTTAGCTTGAGTCCATGGGGTTGGCACCAGTTGGTTGGGGGGGAAATGGGGGACAGGTTGGCACGATTGACCCTAAACTGGGTAACCTCACATTGCTTATGTCTGACCTCTTCTCACAAGCAAATCAGACCCTTCCAGGGGCAACGGTGACTTTATTGGAATGAAATTCAAACTACTTTGGTGCACCTACAGCTCTTATGTGCAGCCTGCATGTGCAAGATACCAGAGTCCAATTCCCTGTCCCCCACCAGCTCTTTCCCCACCAAAGGCTGACCTCCAAGAGGTCTTGCTTTCTATGAACTCAAAATGGCTCCACCCCTTGGTGTCCCCAGGGACAGTCTTCTACCAGCTGGCCTTCCAGGTGACAAAGTCAAGCGCCCAAAGTCTTGACTCTCTTGCCCTCTTGTACCTGGAGGCCAATGTGGCTCCATGATACCCACTCCCATGTACCTTTCATGGTTTCATCACCCCACCTCTTCTTCTCATGCCCACCCAATGTCCAGGTGTGTCCTCCCTCTCCCCTCCCATCCAGAGTGTCCCTCGTTTCTAGCCTCACCAGACCCCTAAGCTCCCACTTCCTCTTTGTTAATAATAGCAATGCCCTGCACATCCTGCCCAAGGCACTGCACTGTTTAGAAATCGCTTCCCCAAACTATATCTCTTTCAGAGCTCTCAGGGACAACTCTGGGAGGCAGCCTGGGCAGGACAGATCAGGGCTGTTGTTTGGCTGATGAGGAAACGGAGGTGCAGGTCTCCGCAGGGCACCCAACTAGGAAGTCATCAAGTTTAGATGAGAACTTGGGTCCACTGGATCCCCCAGTCCAACTCTGTCCTGCTTGCTGTGCAAACCCACTGCTCCACTGGGGGCTTTGTGTGGATATAGGACACTTAGAAAATAGCATTGGTCAACCTAGACATGAAAAAAAGCCACTTCAGATTCCTAGACCTGTGTGTTCCAAAGGGTGGTCTGGGGTCCCCCTTTATGAGAACCCTCTGAGGGCATGCTCAAAATGCAGATCCCTGGGCTCCACCTTGGCCTTCTCTCAGGGGGCTCCTAACCACCATTGGCTACACAGTTGGTGTTCACGGCCCTGACCATCAGGCCATTTTTCTTTTAACCAATAACTATAATGCTGTTATCTTAAAAAGAGCACTGAGATGGGACTTAAGGGGCCGGGTACTCAACCAAACTCTTCATTTAATTACTCTAAGGATTTCCAAAAGGCATCAGGAGCCATTTACAATCCTAGTCATAAGTGTTCAATAAGATAACAAAAATAGAAAGTCAAAAAGCAAGACGAATTATTCTTCAAATCTACATATTGCAATTCCCATAACCATATAATTCAGTTTTATTCTTGAGTTTCCTGGCAGCAATGGTAAAAAGAAACACATCAAGCTTTATAATTCTCATCATCTAATCATGGGAAGCAAGCATGTTTGTTCCAGGAAACAAAATCTTCTGCTACTAAATTATAGCATGTGTCCTTTCTGCAAAGGCCTCTGAGCCAGTCTGAGCCAGTTGAAGTTTTAGCAGGTGAACCTAAGAAACAAGGATGCTGTCCAGGTGACTTATTTAAAAAAATAATAATAAACTGTCACCAACTCGAATGATCTTGGCCAGATCATGTAGCTACTCTGTGCCTCGGTTTCCCCAGCTATAAAGTGGGCATGATGTCCTACCTCAGGTAGCTGTGGTGGGGACCAAACACAATGCTGTGCCTACTGGTCTTCTTGGAAAAGCACAAGGTTCTACAGTAAACAGATCACACTCAGTGTCTGCTGGCCAGCCTCTCAGTGCCCTGCCCCTGGGGGGTGACACTCACCACCACTCCCACTAGTCTTCATGAGGAGAAAGGAAATCATAACATAATCTGGACCAATCCCTTCCCCTGCTTTTTTTTTTTTTAATTGTAGAAAATACACATAACAAAAATTCACCATTTTAACCTTTTTTTTTTTTTTTTTTTTTTTGTAGACAGGGTCTTGCTCTGTCACTGGGGCTGGAGTGGAGTGCAAGTGGCCTGATGGTAGCTTACTGCAACGTCCAACTCCCACGCTGAAGCCTCTTGAGTAGCTGGCACTACAGGTGTGTGCCATCACTCCCAGCTGTTTTTTTTATATTTTGTAGAGACAGGAGTCTCACTGTTGCCCAGGCTGGTCTTGAACTCCTGGCTTCAAGTGATCCTACTACCTCAGCCTCACAAAGCGCTAGGATTACAGGCGTGAGCTGCCACACCTGAACCCACTTTAACCATTTTTTTTTTTTTTTTGAGACAGAGTCTCACTCTGTTGCCCCGGCTAGAGTGCCGTGGCATCAGCCTAGCTCACAGCAACCTCAAACTCCTAGGCTCAAGCAATCCTTCTGCCTCAGCCTCCCTAGTAGCTGGGACTACAGGCATGTGCCACCATGCCCGCTAATTTTCTCTATATATTTTTAGTTGGCCAATTAATTTCTTTCTATTTTTTAGTAGAGACGGGGTTTCACTCTTGCTCAGGCTGGTTTTAAACTCCTGACCTTGCTTGAGCGATCCACCCACCTTGGCCTCCCAAAGTGCTAGGATTACAGGCGTGAGCCACCACACCCAGTCACACTTTAACCATTTTTAAGTGGCTTTCAGTATATTCGTGATGTTGCGTAACCATGGCCACTGTCCATTTCCAGAACTTTTTCATCATCTCAAACTGAAACTCTACCCACCAAACCATAACTCCCCCTCCCACTGCCCCAGTCCCTAGTAACCTCTACTTTACTTATTTTCTCTATAGTTTTGTCTTTTCTAGATGCCTCCTGTATGTAGAGCCATACAGTATTTGTCCTGTGTTCAGCCCCCTCATTTTCTTAGAAGAGGAATCAGTCCCAGAGAAGGGAGTGGCTTACCCAAGGTCACACGGAAAACCAGAGGCAGGGCCCAGATCAGATCCCAGGATTCCTGACTCCCAGCAGGTGCTGTATCCTCAGTGGCCAATGAGAACTGCCCTGCCTTTCTGCGATCTTGGTTGAGCCCCTTCCTCTCTGTGGGCTCAGTCTGTTTGCTTCCTACCGCCAACCCATGCTCTCTTTTACTAACGTCTCCCAAAGCCTCCCCTCCTGCCTCCTCTTCTCCTTGGCTGGTTCCTGCCAGCAGATGGTGGCCCTGGTGCCTGGCTAGGTTTTCCTCTTCTGGCCCTGGGCTTACTGTCCCATCCAGCCATCAGTCCTCCAAAGATGTCCTCCCCAGCACTCCTCCTCCCTCCCCTGGATTTTCCTGTAACCTCAGCACCCCTGCCAGCCCGAACTCCAGCACACATTCCTGTTCTATCAGGGGGTGCTCTTGTCGGTATTCTCCCAACTCCAGTATTTGCTCTCAAATCTGATGGTGTCCTGGGTTCTGTGTTTATGTATTTTGTGTTTTCTCACACCAAAAGGGGCCCCTTTCCCCAATGCATCAGGCAGCACCAGTGCTGCCATCCCTGCTCTCGCTGGGCTTGCCTCACCCCAGCAACCCCCTAGTCCAGAAAGACGTTCCGTAGTGCCATCCTTGAGCCACACCGTCTCCTCTGTCCACAGCCTGCCAGCCGCAGCCCTGGCACTTCCCATGGGTATGTGGTGGGGGTGGGGACCTGGATCCTGTTATTCCTCCTTTACCCTGCCCAGTCCTGGGTGGCCTTGGTTGTAAAGTGGATGCCTCCTGACTTGGGTTCTTCTTCCCCTCTCTCTGGTCATCTGTCCATCTGTCTGACCGTTTGATATCCAACCATCCCCTCTCCTCTCCCCTGGGCCTCACCACCTTGAGAACAGCTTGTCCTGCCAGAACCTACAGTTTCCCCTGGCTCTCTACCCCTTACCCCTCCCAACCCAACAGCGTTTGCAATTTGCAGAATCCCCATATGCAAGATGCAAAGGAGACTGAGGACACCCACTGCTTGGGGCTCCTCCCCACTGCCTGCCCTGCTACTCCTCCCTCACCTTCCTCAGACCCCCTCTTGAGTTTGTCTGTCCCATCTGTCTGCTCCCCTCCCTTCCTGCCCTTCAGTTCTCTAGACACCATGCCCAAGGCAAGGAGCTTCTGTTTTCTCCAAAACATCCTCGAAGGGCTGAGGCAGGCAGGGCCTGACTGCCTTGCCACACACCATTCTGAAGCCACTCAAACCACTCGGGACCTCGGCTGATGATCTGGAGACCTGACCAAGTCTGGGCAGATCTCTTAACTTCTCTGGCCCTCCCAGCTTTATGATCCTGTGATGTTTTGGGGTCCTGCAGCCCCACCCTTTCTCCATTGGGCCTTGGTATCCTGGCTCCTCTCTGAGCTCTGCCACTGATCTCTGTGCCTTAGCTTACTTCTCCGCACAGGGGGCTCACCCAAAGACCATTGCCGGCAGCTTCCCAGATATTACGGTGCCTCTGAGGTTAGGCTTTGCCCTTTGTGGCCCAGCTCCTTAGCACTGCCCAGGAGCACCAGGTTGCTAAGGATGAGGTGACTGGGGGCAACGTTCTAGGCCAGTGGTTCTTCTATTGTGTCCCAGCAGCAGGAACATCACCTACCTGGGAATTTGATAGAAGTGCAAACTATTGGCACCACTCAAGACCCACTGAATTAGAACTTGTGGTGTGGGGTCCTGCAAGCTGGGTTTAAGGAGCCTTCCAGATAATTCTGACATGCACGAGAGTCTGCCAACTGCCCATCTAGGTTAGCAGTTACTGCAGCCCAGGGAGGGACTGGGGCTGGCCCAGGCCAAGAACAGGTGGAAAACACCAACATCATCTGG